GTCGCTGCGTGCCCGGGATCCGAACCCGGGCCGCCAGCAGCGGAGCACTCGCACTTAACCACTAAGCCGTGGGACCGGCCCATCCAAGTGTTCCTTTAAATTAAGACATTTAATAAATGCTTCAGGGTAGCTCGCAGCTTAAATTCTGTAGAGATTATTGCTAGGAAGCATAGAATTCTATTGTAAAATAAATTTTAGACCTCCAGTTTGCTTGATTGCCTGCAGTGTACGTATACTGTAATGTAAATATGCTGCTAAGCATTTTTAACTCTCGATGAAGTGATGTGGAAAGGCCTATTCTATTGAAATAGGCGGTTGAAGGAGAGACTGCCCATCTGCCTGTATCTTGTCAATTGCTGGTTGCCTGGTCTTTTTAAAAATAAAGTATTAACTTGGTCGAGCAGGCAGGCTGACTGGCCAGCTGCTTTCTCCTCCTCCATTGCTCCTCTTTTAAAATATAAACTTCCTCTGCAGCTCTGTTAACTTTAATCTCTGTCTCACAGCTTACTGAAGTTTGAATTGTACAGTTTGTACTCTGCTTTAGACTTGCCACTTTTTTTCCAGAATTTATTCCTGGAACAAATTTCCATGTGACTCAGAGCTGTGAATTTGTAGTTGGGATCAGTTAGGAACCCAAGACTTAGAATTCCTTTTGAAGGTACAAAACAGATGCTACAATTATAATTTCTAAGACTGGACAACAGCATGGCAATAGTCATGAATGGGCTTCCGAGAAAGCTATTTTATTTAAAGGGATAGCAGCAACCAGGAGCAGCCGGTTGCTTCATTGTCTCAAAGGAACCATATGCTACATTTAGTAAAGTGACTCCATTGTCCTGAGATATTCTAATGTACCAGAGGGGATCCAGTGCCATTTTGATTTCCTCACTGGAGATTAATGCCTTCTGGACTTTTGGACTTTATTAAATACATAGTCTTCCCCTTGCCTACCCCCATTTTCTCTTATGGTTCATGGCTAATTTAGAAATATGCAATTTGGGAAGAATTCAGAGTTTCTGTAGAGTATTCATTGAGGATAGTTTGAAAATTTATGTTAAACTAAAAATATTTATATGTGTGACATAAAACTCAATGGTTTACTTTCAACTTCACATTTCCTTTGAAGAAAAAACAAGTTTGTTCAAAGAGAACATGGAAGTATCATTTGTTTTAAACATGTTACCTTTGGGACCCATATCCTATATTTAACTTAACTGTTATTTTTCAGTTGCCTTTAAAGTTTAATTTTAGATCTGTGTGCTGAATGTGTACGATTATTGGGAAATCATACATGTGGAGGTGTACACAGTATTTAAGGTTGGTTATAGCAGCATATGAAGAAGTGAGTGACTCATCGCTTCTTTTCTTGTTAGGTTAGCGATGCAACTAAGCTGAGGCCGAAGGCTGAGTTCTGTTTTGGTAAGTAGCCATATTTTATATTAGTTATTTTAAGTTAGACTAATGTAATGACATCCTGTTGTCAAAGAAAACCGTCACAGAAAACCACACAGCACAAACCTATGGGTTAATGAATTATTCTAAGGCAAATTCCCTTGAAACCACCAGGGGAAGAAATAAAACTGCTCCACTACCCCTGAAGCCTCTTTTCTGTGTCCCATCCCAGTTACAACCTCCTCCCTCTGTCCATATGGAATCATTATGTAGGTATTTATAGTGATCACTAGCGAGATTTCAGGTAATTTTTAACTTTCTACTCTGTATACTTCTATATTTAATAAATAATGGGAAGGATTTGGTTTTCAGCTTGGGGGTAATGAGAAGTTTACAGTTTGGGGGCAGGGGTAGTTGAGGGTATCTGATTAACTTGTTCAGCAAGTATTTAGTGAATGTCTAGTATATGTGCACTGTGCTTGGCACTGGGGCTATGAGAGTAATGGGATGCAGTTGCTGCCCTTAAGAATCTCACAGACAGATGCAATACCAGGTAATTATTATTGTGTTTACCACAGTCAATAGATAAAGGGTGTACAGTCTATTAAGGAAGCACAAAGGAAGAGCTTCAAATCCTTATTGGGGATCTCGGGAGTCAGTGGAGCCACATGGGATGAGGACACTTGAGTTGATGACCCTGGTTGTCGTTTACCACTGGGGAGAAAGGGTGGGAGGATCACACAGACAGAGGCATGCAGGGGAGAAGAGCGTGATGTGCACGGGGAACTGAACACTGAGTGAAGCTGGAGGGGATGGTGAGAGACTGAAAAGGAAAAAGGCAGGTAGAAATCAGGGGTAATATGTTGCCAAGTGATGTGTCGTTTTTTTTGAAAATGTGAAGTGAGAAATTAGAGAGCATCTAGAAAGTAAACATAAGGTGAAGGAAATTATTTTGTGTGTGTGGATAAGAGAGTTTGATGCAGGGAGATTGGTTAAGTGACTTTCGAACTACTCTCTGTACGTAAAGGCCTGAATTAGGATGGTGGCAGTGCGGGAAAGAGGAAGGATGAAAAACATGTGAAGGAAAAGTGCAGGGACTTAGTGACTGGATGTGTGGGAGTGGAAGGGAAGAGAGAGGTATGAGGCAGGTTTGCTTCAAGTAAAGGAAGGAGGCCTCAGGAAGAGCTGATTAGAGAGGGTAAACTGTTTGGTAAGGAGATGGAAATGGGGAAACGTCCAGCTGGAAATGTTCTGGTGACAGTGATTGAGGACTGGGTGGAGCTTGAAGATCCAGAATGGAGAAATTTGGAATCTGTTAAAATAACAGGTGATAGTTGAAGCTGGGAGAATTGCCATGTTCTCAGAGAGTATGTTGGTGGACATTAGTGATGGAAGGGACAAAAGTTAGGAGTGACCAACTGATGTCAAAAGGGATTATTTTACATTTAAGGTAAAGGTGCTTCTTGGAGTAGAATTGACGTTAAAGGTTTTGTTCTCTTTCTTTTGCGAAGGGTAGGTTTCTTCTGTTGGCGGTATGTTAGGAGTAGCATCTGATGGCAATCAGATATATCCAGTAAGGAAATAGAATATAAGAAGAATGTAATATAGCTGTTCAGAGAATCCTCTATAATGCTTTTATCACCACTAAGAAACTTAAAAAAGTTACGTATTTATTACACGTTTATAATTTTGGTTGCTAAATAGGAAAATTCCTCAGAACCTTGTGAATGAAAGGCTACTGGGAGTAGGTCAGATAACAGAGAACTTTGTAGTTTAGAATGTGTATGCACATACTCTTGACAAGTTAATGTAAAATTTCAAACTTAGAGTTTGAAGGAACAGTAATATACAGTAATTTGGCATTCAGTTATTGGTTGGAATGGGTGATTTCAGTTGGAATCAAAGATTAAGATTACTTTGTTGGTCTGCCAATAGTTTATTAGTCCTCTACTACCAGAGGGAGTAGAGAAAAGATTCATAAAATGCTTACTTTCAGAGAGGGAGGCACTGGCTTCTAAAATGGAACCACAACTTCCATTCAGAATGGCAATATAGAGAGTTTTCCTCCTGTTTCCTCTCAAATTTTCCAAAAACAATGAGAACAAGAAGCACTAAAACCATCTTTGAAACTAGCAGACATCTGTAAGCTACAGTGCATAGAGATGGCAAGTGGATGGTGGAATGGTATATAACTTAGCAGAGTAGAAGAAGAGGGCGATGAAAAGCTAGCTGTTTCAGTGTCCTGCCCCCACTCCAACTCTAGGTAGACTTAGGTACTGGTTACTGTCTGGGGAAGCCACAGTGAGGAGGGATGAAAACAGGGACTTTGTATGAATGTCTCTGTAAGAAACAACCTCTAGGCCCTACCTCCATCTGGCTCAGTCAGGCAGACACCCTTCCCCCATCCCAGCGAGAAATGGCATGTGTAGTATCTCCAGAAATAGAATCAGTGATGCTCTGTGCTTGGAGACACCAGTCCCAGAGAAGGGGAGAGAGGAGGCACGACACTGGAAATAAGAGGATTAAATGAAAGTCTGGACACTGAATGCAACCCTTTCCTGTGTCCAGCCCCAGAGTGTTGGGCAGCCAGGTGTTAGTGGGATAAGGATCTGAATACCCTAGAGAAGTGAGCCAGAGGTACTGACATCTGGGCCTTTCTACCAGAAGAGCTGGCCGTAGAGTGAGGTCCACAGTCACCAACCCTATAGACATTCAGGACAGCAGTTGTTTAGTACTGTGTTTTTAAATTTGACTAGACAGCCCAGGATTACGTGACATTTGAGGAGAGAGAATTATCAAATAGGAAAAGGAACATGACACAGTGCAAAACCAGAGGAAAAAGGCAAAAAATACTTAAAAGTAGAATACAAAGGGGGCCGGCCCCGTGGCTTGGCGGTTGGGTGCGCGCGCTCCGCTGCTGGCGGCCTGGGTTCGGATCCCGGGCGCGCACCGACGCACCGCTTCTCCGGCCATGCTGGGGCCGCGTCCCACAGGCGGCAACTAGAGGGATGTGCAGCTATGGCATACAACTATCTACTGGGGCTTTGGGGGAAAAAATAAATAAATAAAATTATTAAAAAAAAAAAAAAAGAATACAAAGGTAGGTAATAGGAGAGAAATAAGGAAGTTAGAGGCCCATTGAGAAAGTCCAGTGTCTGACTAGTAGAGAAGGAGAGAATAGAGAAAACAGGAGAAAATGGGCAGAGAAACATGATAAAATGTCTCAGAACCATTTGATCCATAACCATATTTGAACCGTAACCAGTTGTCCTAGGTTGTGAGATGAGTTTTGTTTGCAGTCAAGCTAATGGTTGTGCTTCAGGTTTTATCCATTTGATGTACTCGCTCTGATGGGAAAGATTTGAAATGAAATAAAGAAGTACTCAGTGAAAAGACAGTAGAACACAAGCCCCTGGGCTGCATTCATTATACATGATGAAACCCTTGCTTTAAAAGCTTGACAACTTACAGGTTTCATGCAGGTTTTCTTTTGTTGTTGTTGTTACTCAAAGTTATTTTTCTTCCTTTCTCTGTCCTCTCTTCCTCTGACATTGCTAATAGCCACTTTTCAGTAATTTGCTTTACATTTTCCACATGCTTTGTTGCTTGGAAATCTCCAGATGATGATGATGATGATGAAGATGAAGAAGCATATCTATTCTGTCCTAAGCACTGTGCTAGTTTCTTTTCATACATCACCTCCACCCCTTGAGGAAGGGATGGGTGGCGTTCTATTGCATAGATGAGAAAAACAGGGCTCATAGAGATTACATAATTTTTACAAGGTAATGTTGCTGGTAAAGGGCATGAGCCAGTCAGGTCTGGCTGACTCCAGGCTCTGATTTTCCCCCCATCATATCACTATACTTCTTTCTGCCATGAAACAATACTAAAGCACATGAGTTTTTATTCACATGCAAGGTGTGCTAAGAATCTTTTTAGAGATATATTTGCCTCTCTTCCTTCCTTAAAAGAGGTCCTTATATAAATGTTATTCATTCAAAAATGTATATATTAAGCACTTACTTTATAGCAGGTGTAGTGTATTACTAAGTGCTTAAATTTTTAAACTCTTCAGTGTTGTGGGCTTAGATTTTTAAACAACATTGAGGGAAAGAAGCCATTATGAGGAGAGCTCAGCTTCAGCCTAAACTGGAAAAAGGTTATGAAAGGGTGCTTCTCTGATTGTTAGAAATTAAAAACAAAAGCTGTATATTGACATATATAATATTCTAGTGAGTTACTAATTTATCTTAATTTATATCTATGGCATTTATAATTTCTTCAGTCTCTAGTAAGATATAAAAGAGTGATTTACAGTGTGTTAAATTTCTTTAGTTTCCAGACTGGTTGTTTTATAGCACTTCGCAAGATATGATTTGACTTCTTTTCTAAGACCTTCATCTCAATTCAAGGAAGCTCTGGTTTAGAGTGTCTTGGTCTCAGTCTCAATTTCAAAATTGTATGCATTTGAGAAATAACTTTTTTTTCCTTGAGGGTTTTCATTTCCTCCTTCCCTTAGTCATATTCAACTGAAGGCTAGTATATCATTTAAAATTTTGATGGAGACTTTTAGAAGTTATTTTTATATTTCAAAAATTGCAACAGTGTAGCTATTCACATGCCTTAGCTCCTAGAATAATGTTTATATTTTTAAAAATAAATACACATGATGTATAATTAATAAGTTTTAATTTGAGTTGGCTATGGTAGTTTGTAGACAAGTGTATGTGCAAATGTGCTTTGCTTTAAACAAGTTGATATTCATTAAAGGGGGTGTATATAAATTAAATTGCATGAAAAAGTTCCAAATGTATTAAGATTTTAAATATAAAGAAAATACATAAGTGCTGGAAAAATAAAGGTGTTTATTTTTATAATCTTGAGTTGGGGAGATTTTCTAAATATGATATGAAAGCTAGAGTCATTAAAGGAAAGGAAAAGGAAAAGATTGATAAAATATTTCTGTTTGGTTAAAAATACTGTGAACAAAGTGAAAAGACAAATGGCGACTGGGAAAAGTACTTGAAATGAAACAGAAAGGATCAATACAAAAGCTCTTATAAATCAATAAAAAATAACTCAGGAGAAATATGGATAAAGAAAATAAAGTTCACAAAACAAATACAGATGGCCAATAAACATACAAAACGAATTTGCCTCAATAATCAAAGAAATTCAGATTTAAACATGGTATAATTATTCACCAGTTAGGTTGTCAGAGAGTGCTCTATCAGTCAGGAAAACATACCACACGAGGTGTTTCAACCCAGGGGATTTGTTACGGGGAATTGGTTACCCAGATGTTGGAAGGCTGAAAAAGCACAAAGGGAATGCTGAAGTAAGCCAGAAATTAGAAACTGCATGAAGCAGCTACCACCGCCAGGGCTGGACAGACAAAGGGAAGAGCTGGTTTTGCCAGAACCTAGGACTTTGGAGAAGGGGCCACCATGAAGCTAGTGATTGGTGTCTGAGGGGACTGCAAGGCCGGTGTAAGGAGAGGCAGCAGAGCCTGGAGCAGCAGCTAGTTGTGTGCTACTGCTGCTGCTGGAGGGAGCTCAGCAAGAGCAGGAATCTGCAAGAGTCCCCTCTCCCCGTTTCCCTCCCACCTTCCAGTCTCCCATCAGTACCTCCCATTGGCAGAACATGACCTGAGCTGGCAAGGAAGTCTGGGAAATACTGTTCCCAGACTCCCAGCCCCAATGTCACAGAACCTTGGGGCTGAAAACAAGAGGTACGTAACAAGCACAGGTGCTGATAAGCAGTACTGGTGCGGAGTATTAGATGGAATAGGCCTTTGCATACACTATTGGTAGGAATGAAAATGGATTCAACCTTTTGGGAAGACAGTATCTATAAAAATTTTAAATGTAAATTCCCTTTGACCCAACAAGTCTATGTTAAGAATTTTATCCTATAGAAATGCTAGCCCAAGTATAGAGAAATATATGTACATGGTGTTTTATTGGGATATTTTATATAATTTAAAAAATTGGGAATAGCTTAAATGTCCATCATTAGGGGATTGGGTAAATATATTGTGGTATTTCCATTTAATGAAAAATGTGGCCCTTAAAAATAAGAGTTTTACCTATGTTAATGAGTTAAAAAAGCAGTATTATATATGATCTAACATTTTGTCAAATCCAAGGGAGTCAAAATATTGAACCTAGCAAGGATTTTCAGCTGCTGCAACATAAATTTAGAGGTAACAAGTGCAAAATTTCGTGTTTTGTAGTTTATTTTTTCTCTCAACAGTTATGAATGCAGGGATGAGGAAATATTTCCTACAAGCCAATGATCAGCAGGACCTAGTAGAATGGGTAAATGTGTTGAACAAAGCTATAAAAATTACAGTAAGTATTTGTATTTTTTGTGAAAAATTTTTAATATCTAGAAGTGATCTTTACATTTTGAAAATACACCTGCTGAATGTCCCCAGCTTACTAACAGGTTGTGTACTCAAGAGTTTGTTTAAAAGACAGGTGTTTACAAAGTGAATACCTTTTATTGTACGTGGTGACTGTCAGCTCTTGAAATCAGCCCATAAATGCCTTTTTAACCCATTATGTACTTAATAAGGGTGTATATTATTGTAGATTTTAACCACTGCTTACAGTGTTTCTAGGGGAAAATGCAAGTAGAGTTCTACCTTGAGGATACGTTTTTTTCTTCCAGAGTAGAGTAAGAGGCTTCCTGCCACCTGCCTGGGGAATAGGAGGAGACGTTCAGGCCTTCACAGCGTGACTGGGACTGACTGGTGTTAGGGCAGGAGTTGAAGATGGGAGCAGGAGGGGAGGTGCAGGGCTTAGCAGTGAGGCCCTGCAGTGGGGACTGGTCTCAACAGCTGTGGCAGCCAGAGGGTCCCGCCCCGGGGCCCCTGGGGAGTCGTCGGGGCCCCTGGGGAGTCGTCGCAGGCCCTGAACTTGGCGCCGCATGCGCTTTTTTCCCCGTGAGTTCCAGTGTCTGCTGCCCCTGCAACTCCTTTTCCGTGCTACAGCTTCCTGCTTTCAGCCTGGGCTTCTCTTTTTAATTTTCTGATGCACTTTTCTATGTATTGATTATTTGCAGTGTGCAAGGCCTTGCACTGAAGATTTTACCCAAATTATCTGGAAAAGTGAGGCTTAAAAGGATTGAGTAATTTACAGGGGTCATAGCTGGTAGGTTGTGGAGCTGTGAGCCGAACTCAGTCTGTGTGACTCTGGAGCCAAGTGCCTTACTGCTTGCTGAAAAGACCCTTCTCCTTACTCTTTGTTCCTAAAGCAAAACGCAAACTTTTCTGCGAGAGTTGACTACTGATGAGGATAAGCAGGTAGATGAGTTCTGTTCGCTGACTGTACCTCTCCTTACCTTTTCCTCCTTCCTCACTGGTAGAGAAACACATAGTAGGCCCGTGGGACAGGGAGATGGTTGGGAAGGAGTTCCTGTGTGAGGTTTATGTAAATTGAAGTGTGTTTTTACTAAAGTGCAGTTATTTACTGACCCTAAACGACTTACTCCCAAAAAGCAGATGCCCGGCAAGTCAGTATGTGTTAGTCACTTGTTAGTTTCCATCTAAAATGAATGATTCCATATTTATACCACAACACAATGAAGAGTTAACATAACTAAAGCTGTTCTCATGGTTAAGTCAAATTTTTTGTCTTGCACCAGAACAGCTTGTTACCACATGACAGGACACCCACGCACGCATCTGATCTGTACATGAAGCAGAAGCTATTTTAGGTTTGTGCAGTTTCAAGAAAGCAATTTTTTGAACTGATTCAGAAGTACATATTCTTAAAAGGTTTTAACTGAGTTTTTAACTCTTTTAAGAAATATTCCCTACTTGGAAAATTTCTTTAGAAAAGCAATATCTAGTAATTTTACTGAATTAATTTTTTACAATTTGCAATAATAAGCAGCACTGGTTTCTTAGTGCTTAAAGAGAAAAAGTAGTGAATGGTCTCAGGCTTTTTACCATTTTGGGGGTTCTTGAATTGCTATATCTAACTTATTAGTGGTCTGAAACCATCTTATGTAAATGACACTGTTAAACTTATTTGAATGCAAGAGAAACTGATTAGGGATTCAGTAATATTTCAAAGTATGCAGACTTTTAAATAGTTTTGTGGTCTTGTAGCTTATAGTTTTTAAAGTAAATCTGTTGGTATTCATGCTTCTATAATTCCTGTTTTTATAATTCACCTTTAGAAAATATAAATACATATAAGGTATAGAAATCCTTAGCTTGTCAACAAAGTGATTATTACTATATTAGAGTGAATATAGAGTTGATAGCATTTACTAAAAATCAACTTTATGTAGATACACATTTAATTCAGGATGGCAATGAAAGAATTTCCCATGCTTTAATAAGATACATTTTAATTAATTTTATTCTTTAAAAAAATCTTACCAGTTTTAATTTCATATCCATTGTAGACATTTAAGTCTGTTTATGGTGTGGAATCTCTAATTTGTCATACTTTCCCATGGAAATTGCTGATGATTTTCATGTCAATTTCTTTGAAAAATTAAAGTTTACATTTTAAAGATTTTATTTATTTAATTTTTTCCCCCCAAAGCCCCAGTAGATAGTTGTATGTCATAGCTGCACGTCCTTCTAGTTGCTGTATGTGGGACTCGGCCTCAGGATGGATGGAGAAGTGGTGCCTTGATGCGCACCCGGGATCCGAACCCGGGCCACCAGCATTGCAGCGCGCGCACTTAACCACCAAGCCACAGGGCCGGCCCAAAAGTTTACATTTTAATATATGTGTAGTTTACCTTTCTACGGAATCACTCCAAATGACATGTTGGTCAACTACTATGTAATTTAGTGGTCTGCTGAGTACAGTGTGATGTACAAACTTAAGATTTTTGGAAATCCAAAATTAGGTTTTGGAAGTATGTGGTTTCAGAATAGGAGTGGTTAGGGGGAAGAGGGTAAAGGGAATGGTGATTGTTTAACTACTTCCTAATAATACTACCTTGCCATCTTAATGGACTATCCTCCAACACCCTAGTCTGTGGCTCTCCTTACTTTCCTCAAGGCTATGTGAATGTGTGAATGTGTGTTGGTGTCTGCCATTTAAAAGTTTTTTTCCCCTTTTGTAAAAAAAAATGAAAGAGCGCAGTAGTAAAGAAACCAACCCCTGAAGGGAGTATCAATGACTAGAGTTTTCTTTTCTTAATGGGATAACTTGGCCACGTTTTCTCTGTCAAGATAATTGGAATACATGATGCTGTTCCTTAGAAAACACTGTGGGCTTCCTTAGCGAGTTGTTTCTCAGTGTACTGTCCTTTGTGTATGCGAATCTTGTCAAGTAAAATTCTGTCCATTATCATATTGCCTTTAAAAGGCAATCCAAAATGTGCAACCTCTTCGAAAAAACTCTTAGAAGAATTCAGGAGGTATTCCCCTTCAGGATTCATTTCTCTTCTCTTCCTTTCCTGTTTCTCCCTCTCTGTTGTTTCTGCCGGTGACTGGCATTGTAGTGTAAATAGGAATGTGAGAGTGGAGGGTTGGGGTTGAGGCCTGGGGAGAAAGCCTGGAGGGGAAGCATCTCAAGGTACGTGAGGTAGGGAAGGAGAGGAGAGGGAGTTCAGAAGTCACCAAGAGACAAGTTACTTATATCCATAAATTATTTCTATGTGGGTTGGGATCTACTACAGCTCAGCTCTGCCACTCCTCTCATATACACGTGGACCATGTTTGCCCAATATTTTGCAGAAAGATTCCTGTAAAGCCTTGTCTGCAGACACCGTTGTAAACCTGCTTTTCCACAAACCTGGTGAGAGTAGCTTCATCAAAGAGAGTGCGCAGGCTTTGGAGCAGTGATTGTCAGTGTGATTTATGAAACACCTGCCTCCAAAACGGTGTTCCTGCTTAAAGTGCAGGTTTGTGGCCTGCACTGTAGATTTACCGAATCAGAATGTCTGGGTATGGAGCCTGGGAATCTGAAGCTTTTAATAATGTTCCCTGGTGATACTTCATGCACGCTAAAGCTTGAGAAACTGCACTGCTGTGGAATCATATTAATAAATGGTTTGGGTCTCTGAGTGCAATTTGAATGGTGTCCCCTGTAGCTGTGCCAGTACCCCGTTCACAGGGATTAACTGCATCACAGGCAAAGTTAATCACTGGAGAGGGATTAAATACCCTGTTCAATGTCTTAGTTGGTACTGAGCATATCTTACTACATTTTAGTCAAAGCCTTAAAAATTTATGATTCAGACTACGTGAAACAATCTATTGACAGAAATATTGATTAGCCAAGTATCTAGTCCCTGATTAGGCCACATGAGAAAAGCTAAAATGTACAGTAAACATTTGCTATACCTTTGATTCTTTGATTCCACTTTAGTGAGGTGTTAATATATGAAATTCTGCTGCGGTCACAGTTGTTGTTTATACTTGTGAGTGATTTATCATTGATACAAGTATTAGAATTCCTTTTTAAAATTCCTAATGTTTTAACTTATTTTGAACATTTTGACTTTTAACTTATGTTAAGTATTTTATTCTTTTTTCCTGCTGATTTTGGATTCATCCACTGAGTCAGTCTTTCAGCATTTATTGAATACTTACTGTGTTTTCAGTAGTAGACTCTGTCCTGAAGACAGTAATGATGAATATACCATGATCCCTGTGCTCGGGGGTGTTGCAGAATCATGGGCAGGAGTGAAGGAAAGGGAAAGATAACAGCACAGGGCTACAGTACAGTATCAAGTGCTCTAATACACGGGGTATAGTACAGTGGTTGAGTGTGGAAGAGAGTTACACAAACTTAGCTAGAAAGCAGTATAGCCAGAATCTGAACCTACATTCGCTAATGCCTCTGGGCCTCTGTTTTCTTACCCCTACCCTGGAGACACCGCCCCTCTGCATAGGGTTGATAGGAAGATTAAATAGGAAGATGTATGAGACAGTCCCTGCCCAAATAAGCACTCAGTAAATGATGGTAGTATTATGAAGTATTACTGTAACAGAAAAATTAGTCTGAGAACTTAAAGGGGTATATACACACTCTATAAATAATTTTTATATATGTCAGTTATATTTAAATAGACAATTAGTTGGAAATTCTGTGATAAAAGATGGTCTCAGATATAATGCTGGTTGCAGAAGTTCAACAGTTCATTTGACTTCTTATTTTAGGTACCAAAGCAGTCAGACTCACAGCCTCATTCTGATAACCTAAGTCGCCAGGGTGAATGTGGGAAGAAGCAAGTGTCTTACAGAACTGACATTGTTGGTGGTGTGCCCATCATTACTCCAACTCAGGTAATAAATTGGTTCTTATATTGTGTGATGGTTTAATTACTGTATATTGATTTTTGCATTACTGTCAAAACTAAAATAGTACGTCTTATACCAAATTAATACAGCAGTCAATTAATACAAAAAAACTTTATATTTGTTTCTTATTTCAAACGTATGTATTTACTGTAAAAAATTTGGAAATCACAAATAAACACTTAACACTTTTCGTGTTTTCTCTGAGCCTGTCTTCTGTGTACTTTTGCCCCAGAAATGTAAACAGCTTTTTTCACTTACATCTCAAACATTTTCCAAGTCTTCAAAAATTATTCTACATGACTTTCAACGACTGTATAGTAGTTTCGTCATGAATTTATCATAGTTTACAAATCCTCTGTTGTTGGACAGAGTTCTTTTTCCTTTTTCTTTCATAAACAATGGAAATAGGAAAAACCCACTCCTCCTCCTGTGGTTTTCCTTCACTCTCACACTGCTGTCACACTCACAACACTTCTGACACCAGATGTGTGGGGTTTTCCCCCACACCAAGCAATTCTGTGACGCCAGCTGGGTGTCCCACAGTTTAACTCAATTCTGACACTGTCTACCTGGATCCCACAGGTTAAGGGCTCAGTCCCACAAGACTCCTCCCCTTTCCCCCCCAACTTCACATGTGAATTGAAAGTCCAAGTTGTCACCTCTCCTTCTGACTGGTGGGCTATAAATCAGAGGTTCCTGTGACCCCCCTCCTCAAGTTTGATTAATTCGTTAGAGTGGCTCATAGAACTCAGGAAAACAGTTTACTTACTGTTTACTGGTAGATTATAAAAGCATATGGTAAAGGATACAGGTGAACATCCAGATGGAAGAAATGCATAGGGCAAGGTATGTGGGAAGGGGTGCAGAGTTTTCATGCGCTTTCTGGGCACTCTCCCAGCACCTCCATGTGTTCATCAACCCAGAAGCTCTCTGAACCCCATACTTTTGGGCTTTTTATGAAGGCTTCCTTACGTAAACATGATCGGGCAGTAACTCCATTTCCAGCCCCTCTCCCCTCTTTGGAGAATGGAGGGTGGGGCTCAAGCTTCTAATCATAGCTTGGTCTTTCTGGTGACCAGACCCTGTCCAGGAGCTCATCTAGAGTCGCCTCTTGAGAACAAGAGATGCTCCCAGTGCCCTTATCACTTAGGCAATTACAAGGGTCCTAGGAGCTCTGTGGCAGGCACTGGGGGCAGAGACCCATATATATATATTTTCTATTATCTCACAGATGCTGTGATGAACATTCTTTTAGCATAAACTTTGAGAGACATAAATAATATTTTTTTAAAGCATAAACTCCTAGGAATAAAATTGCCAAGTCAAAGAGTTTGCAAATATGTGTGATTTTTTAAAGCTGTTTTTCTACAACCTAGCCTAATTGAGCCAGAGAACTGTAATTTTTACTCATTTCTGTCTCAAAAGTACTGATATGCTAAGTCAAATCTTATTTGGGTATTATGAAAAATAAGTTTATTAAAAAATTTTGATAAAATTAAAACTTTTGTGTGAGCTTAAATTTCTTGTGTGAATTGAGTGAATAAATTTGTAATGCAAATTAAATTACTAGCAGTTGAGAAACCAAAAATTTTAAAGTAATTAATTGATATTGTCAGTGTTGGGCATTTTCATTGCCTTTATGCCTTTTTGAACTTAAAAGGCTTTGGCACTTTATAAACCTTTTAAATCAAATTGTATTATGCACCATACTTTTCAAGTCTTTTGTCAGGGGAGACTGATTAGTGGAAATAGAATTCTACCACGTCAATTAATAAATTAATTATTGACTGCTTCTTTATTCCAGGCAAAGGATATATTAATGAACAAAAATCCCTGCTCTAGTGGGAGCTTACATTTTTCACCAAAGTTGGATAAAAAATAAGCTAGGATTTTGTGTGTGCATGTTTATGTTTGCTTTTTTTTAAAAGTAATGATTTTAACCTTTAAGAATTCTGGTTAAGATATAGCTAGACTAAGCTACTTTCACCTGTATTATATCTTATGTTGATATAAGGGGTAACACAATTTGTCTATAATTGTATTAAGATATTGTAGTTGTTTGTATCTGTGGCTGTTTCAATTTTGTATAGAATTAAAATTTTATTGTGTTTTAATTTTGGTGTAGATTATTCAGTAGGTTCTAAGATTCCATAGCAGGTGCCATATTAAAGATTCCAAAGACTTTTATTGCTTTATCATTTTGCAATATGGTTAAATGCATTTGAAAGGTATATTATCAAGAAAATGTCAAATCTTATTTGCATGATTAATTTATTAAGTAGTAACTATTGGGTTGGCAGCAAGTTAAGTGCTGGGATACAAAGTTAAGTACATTATAAACCAATGTTACTGCAATAAACAAAAAATTTAAAAAAAAATTAAAAAAAAAAGTTAAGTACATAATTAGTGCTGTTGACCTGTCTAAATATAGAACAGGTTGAAAATTCCTCAAGATATGACTCCAGTACTTAGTTTTTCTCTTGATATTTAGGAGTTCCTGAAAATATACCTTTGGTTGATTTGTGAGATTCTAGATTGTCACGTGTTGTTTGCTATAAATAAACAGGAAGCCAGTGCTTTGCAGGAACAGGAAAACCTAAGTATAGTTAGATGGTTTTTAAAAGCGCTGGACTTATATCTGAAAAAAAAAAAATGGACAAACTTTTAGAAAATAGCAAAGGAGAAAATCTTCAGGTGAAGAGTTTTTAGACTTGACATCAGAAGCACAACACATAAAAGGAAAAAATTGATAGGTTAGGCCTCATCAAAATTAAAAATGTTTGCTCTGTGAAGGACCCTGTTAAAAGGATGAAAAGAAAAGCTGCACACTGGTTTGCAAACCTCATATCCAACAAGGCACTTTATCTGAATATATAGAGAACTCAACAGTAAAAAAACCCAAACAGTCCAATTAGAAAATGGGTGGAATTCATGAGCAGAGATTTCACCAAAAGATAAAAGATATAGAGATAGCAAATAAGCACTAGAAAGGATGTTCGCCATTATTAGTCAGTAGGGAAATGCAGGTGAAGACCACAATGAGGTATCACTGCACACCTATCAGAATGACTCAGATAAAAATGGCAACACAAATGCTGACAAGGATGAGGAGAAACTGAATCACTCGTACAGTGCTGGTGGGAACGTAAAACAGTACAACCACTCTGAAAAAGTTTGACAGTTTTTTTATAAAAGTGAACTTGCAAATACATAGGACCCAGCATTTGCACTCCTAGGCATTTATCCTAGAGAAATGAAGACTATGTTTGTACAAAAACCTGTACATGAATGTTCATAGCAGCTTTATTCCTAATAGCCAAAAACTGGAAACAACACAATGCCCTTTAACAGGTGGGAGTAGTTAAACCACTGATTGTACATCCAAACCAGGAATACTACTTAGCAATAAGAAGGGATGAGCTATTGATACAAGAAATATCCTGGCTAAATCTCCAGAAAATTATGCTGAGTGAAAAAAAGCCAATCTCCAAAGGTCACCTGCCATTAACAAATTAGTGGTTGCCAAGGGATTGGGGATAGGGGCTCTCAAGGGGTCGCCCACGGGAGCCTTGTGGTGATGAATGCTTATGTGCGTTGGTTGTGGTGGTGGTCACACAAATCTGCATGTGATAAAATTGCAGAGAATGACACATAGACAGAGGCAAATGAGTGCATGTAAAACTGGTGAAATCAGAATAAGGTTTGTGGAATGTTCCAGTGTCAGTTTTGATAATGTACTATAGTTAGTTATACAGTTTCCCTGTTGGGGGAACCATTTGAAGGGTGCATAGGACCTCCTGTACATTTTCTTTTCTTTGGTGAGGAAGATTGGCCCTGAGCTAATATCTGTTGCCAGTCCTTCTCTTTTTTCTTGAAGAAGATTGTCGCTGAGCTAACATCTGTGCCAGTCCACAGCATGGCCAACAAGTGGTGTAGGTCCGCTCCCTGATCCGAAGCCACAAATTGGGGTTGCTGAAGCAGAGTGTGCGAACTTCTTGCCACCAGACTGGCCCCCCCTCCTTTTTTTTTCTTTTTTTGCTGAGGAAGATTTGCCCTGAGGTAACATCTGTGCCAATCTTCCTCTATTGTGTAGGTGGGTCGCTGCCACAGCATGGCCGACAGTGGTGTAGGTCAGCGCCCGGGATCCGAGCCTGTGAACCCGGGCCGCCAAAGTGGAGCGCGTGAACTTAACCATTAGGCCACGGGGCTCGACCCCGCTTCTGTACATTTTTTCTTACAATTTTCTGTGAATCTCTTTAATTAGTTCAAAATAAAAAGTTAACCTCCCTACCCCTTACCTCCCACAAAAAAAGCACTGGTGGCAGGACTTTTGCAGAACAAAAGAAATAGAAATCTGTGGTTTAATCAATGTTGTGAAAGTTATAATTAAGTATCTCAAATTAATTAGAAAATTCTTCACTTTAAAATCCTTGTTCCTAACTGAACTAAGATTAGATTTTAAGATTTTTTGCTAGGATAACAACATGAAATGTAAGTATGCTTTGAAGCTAAACAAGCAAGAAAAGAGTTTCTTTATTTTGCTTCATTTTAGAAAGAAGAGGTAAATGAATGTGGTGAAAGTATTGACAGAAATAATTTGAAACGGTCCCAAAGCCATCTTCCTTCCTTTTCTCCTAAACCACCTCCAGACAGTGCAGTTATCAAAGCTGGATATTGTGTGAAACAAGGAGCAGTGGTGAGTAGCTTAAGAAAATATGGGAATTAATGAAAAATGAGTGTGCGTTAGCAGACTTGCAACATACGCGTTGTTTGCTTTGTTTTGTGAAAGACCCTAAGCGAGAGGCCAGCATGCTGAGGAGTCAGGAGGTGGAATAGGGGTTATTCTGTGTTCATAACTCAGGGCTAGTATTTTCTTGGTCTGTGGGCGGCTGGGTGAGTTAATGCTTATTACCACTGCCCTTCAGTTTTAAATGAGGTTTCCTAACAGTTTAAATTTATCCCAGAAAGTTTTTCTATTGATTTCTCCCCCCTTGGGAGTGGGTCAGAGAAAGAGCTCTAGTGGAGAGATGGTAGGAGCGGGGCGTGGAAGGATTGCTTACTCGATTTGGTGTTGAGCTAACCTCGGTTGAAAGCTCTGTCATGTTGGGCTACTTACTTAACCTCTCAGGCTTTCAGTTTCTTTTTAAGGAAAATCGTATTATAAAACCTACCATCCAGATGTTGTTTTGAAAGGTGTAAATTAAGACAGTAGTTAGCGTGGCAGCTGGTCCTTAGTAAGAGCCATTTCGGGTTAGCCCAGATACTCGCACACAGCCGGATCTGTGAGGGGGAGCTGTGGGAAGAGCAAGTGATTCACCAGTATTTCTGAGGCTCCAGCATACCTTTCCAAAATCTGTCATTCTTTCTATGGGAACTAAATCTTTAGAATTTCATAAGAAAATAAACTTTAAAATTTGAAAATAAAAGAACAAAAATTGCTGTAAGTAAAGAAATACTTAGATCTCTACTGGCAGTTCTGTTTGGCTTCGCGTCACTTTCTGGCAACTCTGATCAGCTCAGGTCGGCCAAGAGAGGGCTCCTTCAGCCCTGCGTGTTTGACCTTCTTTAGGCTGAGGGACCCAAGGGGAGGGCTACAGGTTTCTCCCTCCAGCGTGTCTGTGGGTCAAGTCAGGATTCTCCTCTGGCTGTGACACCCTGGTGTGTTGGTTAGGGCTTTTAAGGAGAATTTCCTTTCTTTTTGTTTTACTCTTAAGTTCAAAATACCAACCCTTAGAGATACCGAAGTTTTAACAAAAAGTGTAGTTCACGGAGAAAAAATACTTGTACAAAGTAGGTTCACTTAATTAAGTATTTGTTGCTTTACTACCAAGTATAAAATGCATGTGGAAGGGTTCCTGCATTTTACAGATGGGGAAACTTGGTGTGGTTTAGTAACGCTTCCTGTGCTTGCTCTTAAACTTCGATAGCATTTACTGTGTGGAGTGAGGATGGGGAGGATGGGGAAGTGCTTTTTTTTTTTTTTTTTTAACTTTTAGAGCATTAAAAATATGAAACTGTATTAAAAAATCATGGAGTCAAAGCTGAAAGCTAGCCACCAAAGTTGAGTTAGGACTTGAAGGCTTGCAGAGCAAAAGAGAAGTTTCATCTGTCTGCTCACTAAGGGAGGGTGGTGAGATTTTCCAGTGCTTGACATTTCTGATTGTGGGTTCATACCAGAATAATTAAGTGGTTATTTACAGTTGACATTCTTAGAAACAGAAGTCTTATGTCTGTGTTCATCTCTGGTAGATGAAAAACTGGAAGAGAAGATATTTTCAGTTGGATGAAAACACAATAGGCTACTTCAAATCTGAACTGGTATGTTACTGTGTTGTAAATGTTGCTTTAAAATGTTTGAGAAGTATTACACTGTGGTGATTTTATATATATATATAAAACTTCTTGTCCTGTTTTCTATTTTTAAAATAATTAAATCTGGTTTTGAGAGGTACATAGGGCTCAGTTTATTTTGTCGTGATGCTTTTAGTTAATGGTATTTTTGTTAAATAAATCTTAAATGAAAAGATCATATCTTCAAAGGCATTCCACCTTGAAAGAATTAAAAATATCAGGACCCCTCAGTCTACAAATGTCCTTTAAAGGGGCGCTGGAGGAGGTGGTGGAACGAATTAAGTCTCTGAAGGTTTAACTCTCTATATTTCTGCTTTCTCTTCCCTGCCCTCTTTGACATTTTCTTTTCCTATTTCAGATTGACTACTAAGTTTCTTCGTATAAGGCATTTTTGTCCTATCTGAATGTAGAATCTAAGACTGAAATTCCATCTTTCACTTGTTTAACATCCTTATTTAAAATATTCTCATCATGTGACCTGAGTTCTGCAATAGATTGTTGGATAAATTGGATGCAATTCTGTGCTTTACACCTCTGTCCTACCTCTTCTAGTTTTATAGGACTTTTGAGGGGGGAACCGTATACTTTATTTGAATGAAGGCACCAGAGCAGCACTGTCCAGTAGAATTTTCTTCACTGATGGAAATGTTTTAGATCTGCATTGGCTACGTGTGGTTGTTGAGTGCTGGGAATGTGGCTCATGTGACTGAAGAACCTGACTTTATTTAATTTTAAAACCAAAACTGATTGTACGTAATAATCGTTAATTTAAATTTAAATGATTATACATAGCTGCTGGCTACTGTATTGGACAGCAGAGTACTAGAGAATAGGAAGGGAATATTTTAAGGTTCATTTCAGGTGTCTGTTCTTCTGGGAAGCTTTTGGACTCTGGATTAAGTGCCTTCTCTTAACACACGGTGGTACCCGATGCCCACTTCTATCATAATACTTTCCACTGTGTTTTGTAATTGTATGCATACTTGTCATTACCAGTTAACTACATGAGCTTCTTGAGAGCAAAGATTCTCTTTTGTACCCTTTTATGAACATAGCACCTGGTACTTGGTAGATAATAAATGTTTTTGAATGAATGAAAAATGGCGTAACATCGTAAGGATAGCCATTTTAGCATGGGGGCCTTTCTCAGCCTTCAAGTTCTAAGAGCCTCAATTGGAAGTAGTAGTTACTTGGTCCAAAAAGTACCAGCCTTAGTGTCTCAGAAGGTTATGCTTGGTAGGTAGGTTGATTCATTGGTTTTAATTAATGCCAGTACTCTTGGGAAGAGTTGTTCATGCAACAGACATTCATTGAGCTGAGCTCTCCATGGCCCTGGTGCACTGTTCTGGGAGCTGGGAATAAGGTGAACAGTTAGCAATGTTCTGGCCTTCAGGAGTTCAGTTTTGCCAGAGAAATTGACATGTACCGCTGTCACCTACAGTAATTGTAATGAGACAAGAACTATTATAGAAGTATTTACTAAATTTTGAAAACCTGCATGTGGACAGTATGCTATAAAATCTGAAATGAAAGAATACTGAACTTTCATAGGAGGTAGGGAAATTATGTTAAGTATTTAGAAAACACAGATAATAAAGCTGAAAATTTGAAATATATTTATAATTATTGACCTTTATCAATTACTAAGATGCACATTCCCCCCCCACATTTTACCGTGTCTGAAATCTTAGAGTGTCTTAGAGCTGCTGCACTGAGGTGCAGTCAGGCAGCAGCTGTGCTGTAGTTGTCATTGCTTTCATGCACAACACCTTTGGGTAAGATCCAGAAGACACCAGCATCAAAACCTGTAGAACAGGGGGCTGGCAGCTTGGAAGAAAATCTCGGGGACACAGTGGAACATTCTTAAGAAATGCTGCATCACCAATGCTCTTTTTGGCACAGAGAGTGGTATGGAGTGAAAAACATTGACATTGATGGCTTCTAGTCAAAAAGTGATTCAGAAGAGCTGGAATCTGACTGAAGTTTTAAAAAACCATAACCAATTTATTTTGCTTATATATTTTTATATATACTCAAGAATGATATATGATGAAAATTGATGATTGAAGTATAAAAGTGCTCCTTTATAAAACTTTTTGATCATGGGAAAGTTTAAACATAAAGTAAGTAGATAGAATAGTATTCTGAACCCCTATATATCCATCATCCGGATTTCAGAATTACTAACACGTGGCTAGTTTTGTTTCTTGTGTACCACCACCACCTCCCCCTTCATATTTTGAAGCAAATTCTAGATGCACCGTTTCATCTATAATTATTTTAGTATGTATCTCTAAAAGATAAGGATTTAAAAGTTTTTTCAGTAATTTTAAAAGATTTAAGTGCACAACTGAAAAACTGGAGAAAATATTTATAATATATATCAGAGATAAAACATTAATATCTCTAATACATAAAGGATCTTAAAAAATGAGGGGATCTTTCCTCATCCTCTTTACCCTCTTTTCGTCCCATCAATCACAAACAATTCAGCCTAAATTTTTTTATTTATTTATTTTTTATTTTTTGCTGTTTTGTTTTGTTTTTTGTTAAGACTTTTATTTTTTTAGAGCAGTGTAAGTTTCACAGCAAGATTAAGGGGAAGGTACAGAGATTTCCCATATAACCCCTATGCCCACATATGCATAGCCTGCCACACTGTCAACATCCCCCACCAGAGTGGTATATTTGTTACAATTGATGAACCTGCACTGACACATAATAATCGTCTGAAGTCTACAGTTTACATTACAACATTACAGTTCACTCTTTGTGTTGTACATTCTATGAGTTTGCACAAATGTATAATGATATGTGCCCACCATTATGGTATCATACAGAGTAGTTTCATTGCCCTAAAAATCCTCTGTGCTCCGCCTATTCCTCCCTCCCCCCTCCCCCCAACACCTGGTAACAACTGATCTTTTTACTGTCTCCATAGTTTTGCCTTTTCCAGAATGTTGTATTGTTGGTATCATACAATATGTAGCCTTTTTAGACTTCAGCCTAAATTTTTTAGGTGAGGCAAATCAATGTAGGTGTCCATCATGGTGGGGCAGAGCCAGAAAGAGCTGGAGTGGCCTGGTGTGGACAGTAAGAGCCCAAGTGGGATGAGGAGGCTGTCCTCTTAGGTTAGGCCAACATGGAATAGGGAAAAGAGGGAGGGCATCCACGTCGGGAGAGGGTGCTACAGAGATGGGAGAATGAATACATATATACTTAGTGATAAAAAAAGGGAATATATTGAGACTAGAAGCCAAGTTTCTCACTTGGGAGTAATAGATATGGAAAAGGAGAAGATTTTTTTATTAGATTGGAATTAGATGTATTGATATGAACTTTTAACATATACAGATAGATGTAGAAATAAGTATGGATGTAAATGTATTCATGTGTTTACGTATATCTATATGCATATAAGATATTCCCTAGCTCTGTGCACTGAGAAAACTACCATTTTCTGTTGAAAGAAACCTAGGCTTCATGGAGAAATGGCACAGTTCCAAAGCTGAGACAGGAAAAATAAATATAAAACAAGCCTGGAATATCTTGTTTCAGAAAGCAAGGAAGTCCTCACAGAATGATAGGGACATATCAGAAGGACTCAGAATCCAACTTGAAAACGTTCCCCCTTACCAAGTTTAGGGCAATTTGAGTATCAAAATAAGTAATGATGGCAACAGATTATTGCCCATTGAATAAAACGGGAATCCATGAGCCCATACAGATATGAATGAATGAATGAGTGAGTGAATGAATGTACATAGGAAGGAGGAATGAGAGATTACACAGTTTCAAAGTACCTGTCTATAAAACATATATTAAGTACAAAGCGGGAAAGAATAACTTTACAGCTTGGCAGGTAACACTTTCATCAGGTGATCAGATGATTAAAGTGAACTTCATCGGTGATGAGATGAGTTAAAATCATTTACCGCCTGACAGGATAGTGTGAGAAGAAAGCAGTATCACTTCTGTGATAGTCCTGCCAAAGATTCATAACCTGAATCTAATCATGAGGAAACATCAGACACACCCAAATGAGGGACATTGTACAGAATAACTGCCCTGTGATCTTTAGTAGAGTCAAGATTACCGAAGTCAAGGAAAGAAAAGAGATATGACAAGTAAATGCAGTCTGTGATTCTCACCTGAATTCTTTTGCTTTAATAAAAGACATTTGGAGGACACTTTCCTAATTTTGAGGGTTGTATTGTGATAATAGAAGAGGATGTTTTTGTAGGAAATACACACTAAAATATTCAGGGTGGCGGGGGCCAGGTCAGCCACTCACTGTGGAATGGTTGAGGAAAATCTGTTCTCTGTGCTGTTTTTTCAGCCTTTGTCTAAGTTTGTGGTTGGTTCAAAGATTAAAAAGAAAGAGAAAACCTAGGGGAAAATATCTGGTAGAAAAATAAGCAAAAGACGTGATTAGATCATTTATTTACAAAGAAATTAAAATGATCTTTAAACATAAAAAGATATTCAATGTCACTCATAATTAGAGAAGCATGAAGTAAAACTTCGCAGAAATATTACTTCTCATCTATCATGAGAAAGCTGTGGCTGAGAGAAGAGATGGGCAAATTCTCTCTCCCCAAAACCAATTTATTATAAACGCCATTCTCTAACAAAAGGAACGAGGGCCCCCAGGAGAAATGGCCAATTACAGAGCTGGGGTAGGGAAAGTACAAGCTGAGCCCAAAAGATCTAGTTGTGACAGAAAAGAAGGAAGTGGCTTGGAGAATGATGGGGACGTGTCAAAAGGACACACAAACCAGCTTGAAGGGGCTCCCAGTGCCCAAAACTCAGACAATTTGAGTACCAAAATAAATGATGATAGTAATGGATTGTAACCCAGAGAATAAAATGAGTCATGAATAAATAAATGGAGAAGGAAAAGCATTTCCTTAGAGTAAAAGTCCAGCTAATATATGTAGATGAATTGAGGGGGTTAGAAAAATCACCATTTACCAGCCACTGTAGTAATGGTGGTTTCAGGCTAGAATCCTCAATGTTTGATAAAACTAGTGAGCCAAATTATGATGGGAAACTGAGTGCTATATAGGCTCCAACTATCTCCCTGCAGGATACTTAATAACGACAAAAGAGAAAAGAGTAACTTCACAGTTACTGGCAGACATGACCTTAAGCGAGAGATCAGGGTTAACACACTAGTAGTGGGACAAACCACTGTCATGTGCCCCCTGAGAATAGTATGCTGAGAAGAGCTTATCACATCTGTGGTTTCCTGCCCAAACTGTATAACCTCAATCTAAGCATGATTGACATCAGACAAACCCCAATTAAGGGACGTTCTACAAAATATCTGGCCTAGACTCTTTAAAACTCTAAAAGTCATGAAAAAGAAAGACAGACTGAAGAACTATTCCACAGTAAAAGAGACTAAGAGACATGACAACTAAATACAAGGTATGATCCTATCAGAAAATACATCATTTTTCTTTTGCTGGAAAGGATACTGCTGGGACAGTTAATGAAATCTGAATATGGTCTGTAGATTAGATAACAGTGTTGCTTCACGGTGGAACTTCTGGTTTTCATAATTGTACTGTGGTTATATAAGAGAACATCCTTGTTTTAGGAAATATCCCCTGAAGTATTTAGTAGTAAAGTACATCATATCTACAACTTGCCTTCAGATATTTCAGGAAAAATATATGCGCCCACACCATATTCACATATATGTACACAAACACAGACACTGAGTTAGCAAATGTAAATATTAACATCTTAGAAAACAGGGTGCAATGTGTACAGAAATTCTTTGTACTATTTTTATAAGTCTTTTATAATCTGAAGTTATTTTAAAATGAACTTTGTAAAACTTTAAAGAAAGGTTGGTGATTTAAAAAGAGTTCAGCCATAGTTAAGTTTTTTCCTAGTGCTTCATAAAATAATGGTGTCTTAATCTCATGGTGTCATATTCAGTGAAATTTGATATATGATATTTCATGCAATGTATAATATAAATATTATGCTATTAGGAACTAATTATATCTGTGTCTTATATCTGGTTTTAAAACCTTAGGTGAGGTACTTAACGTGTAATTCTCAGTTTCCTCAGGTGAATACTGGTGCATGTATTGTGCTGTGGAAAGTTTAAATGAGATAACACCTTTTAAAACCTAGCAGATGTGCTGGCACTTAGTAAATGTTCAATAAATTGTGCTTGTTAAAATAATGTATTCATATAGAAGTGATATTCTAAAAATAAATTTAACTCAGATTAAGCTGGGTATTAAGTACTCTGGTGTCTTCTATATCAAATAACATTCCAAAAGAAGTGCTCCACTTAACAGGGAACGTAGGGGTCCAACAGGGAAAAGTCTGATGGGTAATAGCTTTTAATAAGCTACATCGTCATTAAGTCTGGAAATGATGTGAATATGGGTTATATGCTGGTTTCCTTGTCTCAAACCACAGTGTGTATAAAGTTATATTTAGTATTTGAGCTATTGTGATGCTGGATGGTTCAAGAAGGTAGATTTATGTCTTAGATGTGCTTCAAGAAAGAAGCATAATTTTCACATAGCTCTCCAAATAAGACAACTAACACTTAAAAGGATTTTAAGAATATACGTCATCTGTTTGTTTGCTTTTTTGCCAGGAAAAGGAACCTCTCCGTGTAATACCACTTAAAGAGGTTCATAAAGTCCAGGAATGTAAGCAGAGGTAAGCATCAGCTCTCACTTGGCTCCTGGCACAACTTATTAATTCACAGTAGTGCCTTAGTTTGATTGTTGTGCTTACAGATGATATTTTCTCTGCTACTTCTAGAGTTAGTTTTAACTCTTTATAGATTGGATATGCTAGACCTTTCAAAACTCCCAGATTAAAGTAGTGAGATTTTTTTGTTTTATTTGAAAGTTAAAAATTAGGAAACCAGTCCTTAAGCTTATTAATGGAAAGGAAAAATTTAATATGAACAACTTCTATCATATTTGACAAATTGATGTATTTTTAATTTTAATATTTTGAGGTTGCTGCAGAATAGAGCTTTATTAAAAAATGTGTTAACTGTGCCAGTGTTTCTTTGAGCAAACTGATTTCTTCACAGTTGAAAACTTTGAATTTTAAACTTATTTTATGAACCTTTTCTAAAAATATATATAACTATATAAAATATGTAAAATTTAATGCAAAAATAAATTGAAAAAGATGATAATTTAGTTTTATTAAATCAGTATTTTACCTCCAATATTTATTTTCTTATTGGCATATATTTGGTACTGGATAAGCAAGTGAAAGAAAGTATCAAACAATTGCCATTTAAGTAAAATTGGGAATTTTTTTTTGTTGCCAGTGACATAATGATGAGGGATAACCTCTTTGAAATTGTAACGTCATCTCGAACTTTCTATGTGCAGGTAAGATACTTCTTTGGAGATTATAGATCCTCCTAACAAGAAATTAATAATTTTAGAGGTGAAATAAACATAAATAAACTTGTTGCTTATGGGAATAAGCAAAAAATTTGACAACTGTAATTCACCAACTTAAAAAAATGTTATATGTAAGATTTGGTAGGTCATATGTTCAGCAAATAGGGGTATTCTTTGCTAAGAATTAGTTGAATAAAATTAAGTAGTATTTGGAGGAAGGGAAATGCTGTTTTAACTTAGATGCTAACTTTCAATTTGGGTTGTTTTTTCACATATTTTGGGATTTTGATTATATCATTTTTGATAATTTTATAAAAAGGGGGCTTGAATACCCATAATAAAAGTTAACGGTAGATCTTATAGTTTCACTAACGGTAAATAGGCATTTGTATTTTAAGTTTAATAAAATACGCTTTTTAGCACATTGAATTATTTAGATTGGAAGTTTTTTTAAAAGAACATTTGTTTTTGTTTTATAAAAGTTACATATGCTTATTGCAGAAAATTTGGAAAACAGAAAAATATGAGGAAAAGAGTGGTTTATAAAACACACAGAATCCCACATTCAGGCAACCATTTTTATTTTTTTACTGCCTTTTGTAAGGTATATTTTTTTATAACAAATGGGGTCATATGAAGTAAAGTGTTATGTCCTATTTGTTGAATATATTGTGGTCATTTTTTCCACATCATTAAAAATTCTCTGAAAATCTTTTAGTACTGTACCCTACTCTTGTATGAACGTTCCAGAATTAAGCTGTCTCTCCACTACTCTGTGTTACTGATCATTCATTTACATAGTTCTTGTACATTTACTGTGATAAATAATGTATGGTGAATGTTTTTGTGCATAAATTTGCCTGAATTTCTTCTTTAGGTTAAGTTTCTAGATCAGAATAACTATCAGAGCATGAACCTTTTTAAACCTTTTATTTTGCCAAATTGATTTCTAGATTTGTGCTCCTATATGTAATGAGTGAAAGTATACTCTACCTTTGCCTGTTTTGAGTTTTTCCTTTTAAAAAGTCCTTGTTAATATCATTGGTGTGAAAATATTATCAAGGAGTTTAAAATTTTTGAACTTCAGATTCTAGAATCTTGACGTAAAGGGCAGTATGTTTTTTTTTGGTGAGGAAGATCAACCCTGAGCTGACATCCGATGCTAATCCTCCCTTTTTTGCTGAGGAAAACTGGCCCTGGGCTAACATCCGTGCCTGTCTTCCCTACTTTATATGGGATGCCGCCACAGCATGGCTTGATAAGCGGTGCGTTGGTGCGTGCCCGGGATCCAAACCTGCGAACCCTGGGCCGCCGAAGCGGAACACACGCACTTAGCTGCTGTGCCACAGGGCTGGAAGGGCAGTATCTTTATAGCCCTCTTAGGGTCTTGTTTAATTGGATTAAAGTCATGGTAAAGTTTTTAATTCACACTGGAAGGGACGATCCTATCAAGGAATATGACACTTGGGAAGATGACTACCAATACATCTTTTAGGTTTTAGGGTACTACTAGAAATTATTTATAGAAAAATAATATATACAAAGATGTCAAAATGGTTTTTTAACTACACAATTGCATAAATGTTCCTGTAGCAGATTCAGACAATAAAGCAGTAGATAAAACAAAATGAGAAGGTCTGTCTCTGACTTCTTCCTCTCCTTGTCTTCTCTCCAGAAGTATTCACATTGACACTTTGATGTCTCTGATCTTAAAACGCTAAGTGCCCAACTTATGACTCTGTGTGATAACTTACCCAGCAAAACCTGGTTTAAAAAAGTGATTTCTAAAATTTTTTGGAAACTTTTGCCTTAGAATGATTTTGTTGTTGACACTATTAATAACCGAAACAAATACATTGAACTTACAGAAGTAGGAGCTGATTTTGAGGAAAAATTGACTGAATGAGTCCTTTCTTTCCCTTAGGCTGATAGCCCTGAAGAGATGCACAGTTGGATTAAAGCTGTCTCGGGCGCCATTGTGGCGCAGCGGGGGCCTGGCCGATCGGCATCTTCGGTATGTTTCCTGTTCTCCAGGGTGCTACTCCCTCGGGTCCCCTCATTCTGTCAATTTATTTTCCTTCTCTCCCCCTAATCCTCCTGGTTTCTTTCTGTATTGAGATTTATTTGCATGTTGACTTTCATACCAATTGGATTTGCAAAAAAATAGTGCATTTCTAATTTAATGCTTCCTTGTAGTTTTATGTATACATAACTTTCTGTGCATTGTATTGTCTTAAATGCACAAGCAGGGCAACTAAAGAATGAACGTTTCCTTGCTTTGTTTTAGGAGTTCCTGCTTGTCAGTAGGTCTAGATTTGGTATAACTTGACAGATTCTTACTATGGTATGTGGCCTCATCACGTAAGGCACCTTGAGTTGTAGCATTACAGTTTTGTGAACGTCTCAGTTTTCTCTTTACTTCCTCTAATTTCAGCTAAGGTTTTTTTGTCTTAATTAGTACCATAAGACCATTGAGCAGCTGGGACCTTAAGTACGATTTAGTGCTCTCAATCAATATTTCCCATTTCATGTTTTCATTCTCATTTTCTAGTAGGCTAATTTAAAAGGCTGCTCCTTTTCACTATGTTTGTGGTAGTATGATAATAAAATTAAACCAGCTAAACATTCTCAGAAATAGTAAGAAAAAATGTTTTTAATTTTAATTTATCATGTTCAAGTACATCATAGGAAGATTTGGCTTTAGAATAATTTGTTCACTGATCTCTGACCTGAAAATACAAATTCTACTGAGGAATGAAAACTTTTTAAGTGTCTTGAAATGTAACACTTTCATCTGCAGGATGTAGTCTGATATGTAGCATGATAGCCTTCATTGTCTAGATGCGTTGTACATGCTAGGTACTCTATACTTTTGGTATTTTCCTGTAGTGATATTGTCTTTCAATAGTTTCCTGGTAGCAATAACTACAGATCAGTAAATACAAATCCATCTTTCTCATTTCTTAAGTTTTTCGCCTTACATCCTTTTTGGTGTATCTCAGAAGTCACTTTGATGGGTGTTAACTTTGTAACTGCCTGTGTTTTATGTGACCTTTTCAGCAGTCAAGTCTGAGACTCTCTGCAAAAACAATGTCCGCTGGGAAGAGGAAAAGTTGGAGAAGGGCGTTTGCATTTTGTGCTTTGTGGTGGGGGCAAATGGACTATCTAGCTGTAACTATCAGCAGAACTTTCTCTTTTCCTCCCTCTCCCCAGTATAGGTTAACTCTAATCTTAGCTTTGCACTGTGTTCCAGATGCGGCAGGCCAGAAGGCTGTCGAATCCTTGTATACAGAGGTATACATCAAGAACTGGTGACTGCAGCACGTATGTGGGCTCTCACGCAAACGTGCCTTCTTACTAGAGGGCCAGACTTACTCACTACTTACAACTGATTGTAGAAAGTTGAGTTAACCAAACTGCCTTTGCAGTTATTGTAACTGACTTTGTCAACACTAACACAAACTATTTCACTACAGTCATCAGGCTGGATATGAATATTTTTTAAAAAAAGATAATGAAAAAAATAGAACTTTACTAATTGAAAAAGTTATATTAAGTTATCTTCTAAACAATTTACTGAATTGCCACAGCAGTTTCAATTTCTATATTTTATGTATTTTGAAATTTTTTATACCACACCACTTGAAACGCATCTTTGTTCTGTGCAAACTCATGCATGCATATGCATTGGATAAACTCTACATTACTATAGTTTGCATGGCATTTTAAATCTCAGGTGAAATTTAGCCATCTAATGGGAATCTCTAGTGTTCTAGTAATTTGTAGCACTTTGTTTTCAAAGCCACTAGTATCATAAATGAACACAATTTACTAGGAACCATATGGCAATGCATTTGGAATGGTCATATTTAAGGATATCTTCAGATCTGATTTAGTTAGAAGCATATTGAAATTAATATTCACAACTGATAATTATTTGACCACAGTTTTAATAAATGATTAAAGATGTTCCCTTTGTTGCCTTTAAAATCTTAAGCCATATGAATGTATGACGTACTCAAAACTAAATGCAATTAAATAAGAAATGAAAAACTATGCTATTATTGGTTGCAGTGAAATTCAGGGAAGCAAAAACTAAGTTTGTCAGACTGCCAGATGAAATAATAGGTTTGAAAACTTGAGTTCTGCTTATTAAAGAAATGTGGCCTTTCATTTTTATAGTCTGCATTTTCATTTTTTATCTTTCTAAAATATCTGGGATAATTCCTAGTATTGATTGAGAATATACTCTTAAATAAAATTATAAAGCTGGTAGGCCCCCTTTTAAACACAGTTTAGTTGAAATTGGAACACTTTTCCACTTCAGGCTGACTGAGTCTTCAAAGTGTCAAAGCTGCCAAATTTGGCTTGGTGACAGAACTGGTTTCTTAGTGGAAATGGTTGTTGGCTGTCATTGCTTTAAACTCACTCCTAAAAATGCATTGCTTTGGGAAGGAACTTGCACATGTGTGCTGCATGGCTCGTGCTTCTGTTCTGTGTGTGTGTGTTGTTTTGTTTGTTTTTCAGAGAAGAAAGTCTCACACTGAGTTACTGACCTTGTCGTTAATGATTGACTGTGTCTGACCACCACCCCTCTTTACAGGAGCGTTCCATCTGTCCTTCAGAATCCAAATACGCTTCCCGCCCTGCCGGTGCAGCAGCCGCCGCCTCACATTCCACAGCCTCTCGCAGCAACTCTCTGGTCTCAAGCTTTACCGTGGAGAAGCGAGGATTTCACGAATCTCTTGCCAAGGTCAAGCCAGGGAACTTCAAGGTCCAGACTGTCTCTCCAAGAGAACCAGCTTCCAAAGTGACTGAACAAGCTCGGCTAAAACCTCAAAGTACAAATGGCCCTCAGGAAAAAGATTGTGACCCCGTGGACTTGGATGATGCGAGCCTTCCCGTCAGCGATGTGTGAGGTGGCAGCACGCGGAGCCTGACCACCTCAGCAGCCCCTCCGTTTCCTTTCATGAGGCTTCCAGCCAAAGATGGTAAAGGGTGAAGTGGTTTCTAGTGCATATGTTATACTGCCTCTTAGATGTACTCTTTATAAGCTGGTAAACCAAGAGTCTGGGGAGTGGCCAAACTAAATGTAATTTCTTTAAAAAAGGAAAAAACCTAAGTGTTTCAGTATCAACTGTCTGAAGCTTTGTGTGTTCTCATTCGGGTGGTAAAAATGTGTGTGATATTTTTAGTGAATTTGACAATTTAAATGTTTAACAACTTAAAACATTAAAAATGCTTATTAATTATTTTGGTTGTTTTTAAAATGCTACTATGACTTCCTGTTAGATGTTCGATATTTACACATTCTTACTGGTTAATATTATTGAATGAAATATTGCCAGACTAAGATATCTAAACTCATGAATGTCTGTGGTGCTGTAAAATTTATACTACAATGTGGACTGTTTTGAAATGATAACCATTTTTGATGCTCTGGATCTCAAGGTGAGTGGTAAGTTTTGCGTAGAGGATAGTGTTGGACCATGAGTGAGGGTTGTGGGTTGTACTGGGGTGGATAAGAGGGGGAAATTAGAGTTCATACAACCATATCTTGGATGTTTGTTTGAAAAGCTTAATCAGGACTGTAGCAGTCATTGCTTTTATTCAGTGAAAACTATTTGGTGTGAAATTTCTGGGAGATATGGTTTTCTTATTAAAGTTTTGTAAGTAGTTCTTATTTCTATGTTTGGTTCAGTGAGAGACCTCACGTTTATATGTGAAGACATACTGCCCTTAGTCATGCGATTGTAGCCTTTACTTTTTGTCACTAATAACCCATATTCAAATGCCTGGGTTTCTTCATCTTGTTAGGGATGTTATGAGCTCAGAATTCCTACTGATTGGTTTTAAACGTTGGGATAAAATTAATTTTCAGTAGCATAGTTTAATGTGTTAAATAAGGTATCATTTTATGTTAGAGATACCAGAGTGCTGTTATTCTACTACCTGTGCAATATGTTTTAAAACACAAATTTGAGTATATGTTTAATCACAGGGATATCATAAATATTTAACACCTCTAAAAAATCCTTCGTTTCAGGTATTGAATAATAGACCAGTTAGGGCAAGTACCATTTTTACGGTTCAGTCTTAAACATTTGCTTTAAGAAAATAGTCTTGAATTTCACATGCTGCTATTTTTATGATGTTTTGCCATTTTACAGTACTGTTTTGTTTTGAATTCATACTTGTCACTGTTCCTCCTTTTCATTTTCTAAGATGACTTCTTTGAGAACGAGAGAGAGATTTCCTACTACATTGTGGGGTCCAGAGGTTACTATCTATTATTACTAGAATTATCATAGCATCAGTTTAAAAATCCAAATGCATAAAGAATGCACCACTCAACTTTTTTATTCATAAGCTAATATTTTTAAAAATTATTTAGATTTTTCCTTTTTTGCAGCTACGTTTGAAAAGGTTTTAAGTAGTTATCACTTTTTCTGCTGATATATCCATTGTAATGGCTCTTTTGAAAGTTTCTTTTTCATGAACACACCTAAGAAATCTTGTGTAGACACTTGGCGATATTCAGGAGCCTAATGCTGTTTCTTTGGTACAGCTTCTACATTGCATGTTCGTTTTAACATATTTTGGTATTGATAATTTGATATATTTCATAGTGGCAAAATACTAGCTCTATTTTGGGACTTTTTATAGAACTACCCTTGTATTCAATAGCATAGGAAAATGTTCTTGTGATTGTCAGGGTCTCCTAATATTTATCTCAATACTTTTATAATTCTATGAAAATTATTTAATTATTTTAAAACTTCTACTTTTCTTGTAAATGTGTCACATCTCAGTTGTCAAAAAATTACTTTGAATATCTTAATATTTGCTGCAGTTTTTTTCTGTGTGTATAACGTTTTTCAGAATGGGAGTAGATGTGTGCTTCCCAATGTTTACTTCTACGTCTGTTATCTTTATATGTCAGACTGGTTGAACACTGTAATGACTTGAGAATAAACTGCTCAAAATTAATTCTAACTTATTTCTCATTTGGTTTGGTTCGGCTCTTGTGTGAACAAGTAATTGGAACTAGTACAAAGTGTGTTCGGTTAATTGACTTGAATTTACATATTTAAGGACAGACTGATTATTTGGTAATCTTTGAAAGGCATAGCTTGATACGAAACTGTGCAAGGAAAGATGACTCTTTCTGGAAAAAAGAGCTTACTTATTTTGCTTAATTAAAAAATGTGTTCTCAAAAGCAAAATTAAATATGTTGGCTTCAGAGCAGTTTGAGTCATCCAGGCTGCTTTTGCAGTGCTTGGGTATTGGTTAGATGGACGTGACAGGAGGAAGGCTGAGTGCAGAGGGCATTCTGACCCCTAGATGGGCTGTTGACATGCACTCGGAGAAACTCTGTGTCAGGCATTAGAGGCTGCTGTGTGCAAACCTGCTGTTAGTAACGAATATTCTACGTCTGCTGTATATCTGATAATAATGGAATTGGATCAAGGATATCTGTCTTGGTAATTTTTATTAATTGGTGCAACTTAATTTTCTTTCCCTGAAAAGTATTTTAAATGTTTTCATTTTTTAAAAACACCCCAAATGAGAAAGTCTAAACTTTGTTGCTTTCATAATAAAAGAGATCACTTTCTCAGCTTTAGTTTTATTTCTAGTTGCAATTCAGGAATTTTAAGTGATGCTCGCATGTTTATCAAAGTTCTCTTAACAGTTGGTGAGGCAGGAAATATTTGTATTAAAAAATGCAGTGATAACAGCTGCTTAATCCAGATTTGGTAAGAATCTTCCTTGTCTTTGGAAGAGTTTGACAGTCCACATAGGACATGGTGAAGAATACACTTAGTTAGATGGGTTTGTATTTTCCATTTGCAACCTTCCATGTTACGCAGATCCAAAATTGATTATTTGTATGTGTTTATTTTTTAATGATTTATGAAAATTGTATTTTTTTCAAACCTCACGTAAGACATGTATTGAAAATATTGCTGATTGGGGTTAGCATTTACAAGTTTGATTAAGTCCTATAATTGCGTTTTTATGACATCAAGTGAATAGCGCCTTACTGTGGTATATTCATGTGGTAATAGCGCCACCTTCTGGTTATGTCATTGCTAAATTTAAAATAATTTGGAGTCTATTTCACTTTATTACACTCATTGTGGAAAATTAGAGAAGATGTGTAATTGCCTAGGATAGTTTTGAAATTAATATACTATTTAATTCAACATTTGCAAATGACTTCTTTAGTTAAAGTTTTTATTTGATAATTGTAGATTGACATGTAGTTGTAAGAAATAATACAGAGCTGTTAATATACCCTTTACTTGGTTTCTCCCAATGATAACATATTGGAAACTGTTGTAAAATATTATAGCCAGGATGTTGACGGTGATACAGTCCAGATTCAGAACAATTCCATCATCACAAGGATCCCTCACTGTTGCCCTTTTATAGTCAGATCCACCTCCCATTTCACACGTTTGGAAATAAACTTAGTCACTTGTTCAAAATCACATTAGGTTTAAAATCCAGTCTTTTTGGTAGCCAAGTCTGGGCTCTTAACCATTATGGTATTACTGCCTCAGTAGAACTCTTAAAAATTACTCTTTGTTCATATTGTCCTATCTCTAGATTATTAAATGAATTGAATTTTCATTCAGTCTATCTTCAACATTTTCAAACCATAATATTTCAAATGATAGATTTCTTTATACACACAAATTTAACATTTGAAAATCAATAATAGATAAGTATCCTGATCATAATCTCCCTGAGAGACTTCAAGCCCTGACATTTGGCATTATATAAACTAACAAGGTTATGGAGTAAGGATTGTAAAATAAAATAGCTTTAGGATGCCAAATTCTTGCACTGGAATAGTTGTAGGCACTGGTTATAATCACTTGGCATAGAGTAAGAGTGAGCTGTTTTCCTTGTGAGGAAACTTGACCTTCTGATGAAGCCTTGGGTCAAACGGGTATCTTCAGTGTATGACATGCAGCGCACAGGAGACCTAAGATGATGACGAAGATGTCCACATGGAATTTCCAAAAGAAATACAAAGTGCAACATGTGATAAAATCAAGCATGGAAAACTGCATGTCCAGAGACTGAGATGAGCAATGAATGATGGAGTAGGTAATAAGGGAAGCATTGTGGTGGAGGGGCTTTTAAAAGATCCCAGAAGAGAAAAATGTTCTTTAAGTAAAAACAATGTGTCATGACGATAAGTTTGTAAATGTGGATTTGGAATTCGAAGGATCCAAATTGGTGCATGAAACTTAAATTGTTCTTTTAAAGGTTCATTGCCTCTTTCCCCTTCCAAACTATGGACTTATACCGGTCACAGTAGTTTTCTGTAGTGCCGGAGGGAGGGATCAAGTGGGTGGGAAATGTGGAGAAGTTTCCATGGTTTAAGAACTTACCACATCAAGCCCGTTTTTGCCTGGCTCTGGTCCCTTCATAATGTGAACTTATCCTATTCCCTGGGAAATCTTATTTACTATTATTTCCAAACAGAGGCCTTTGCTGCCAGTGATACCTGTTCCTTCGTGACCTTCACATACATCATGCTCATCGTGTTGGTTCGTGTTATCCCTTCTTACTCTCCTTTTACCTGTCCAGTTTGAAGGTGGAACATTTCCTAGTGGATTAGATATGGTGAGTGAAAGAAGTGAGGCATTAAGGATAATGGCAAGTCTTTCAGCCTGGACAACTAGAAGAACAGAGGCTTTGAACTGAGGTGGCGAAGACTGCAGGTAGAGGAGGTTTGAGGGAAAAGATTGTGATTGCAGTATTGAACGTGATGGTTTGAGATGACTGTTCAACATCCAGATAGAAATGTCAGGAAGGCAGTTGGGTATACAAATTTGGAATTGGGAGAAATCTTTACTGGAGATAAAAATTGACGAGTCTTCAACATAGATGCTATTTAAAGCCACGAGACTGGATTAGAGAGATAAGAAGAGAGAACCAGGGAATGAAACTGGGGCACTCCCAACATTAAGACCTCTGGAAGAGGAACTGGCCATAGAGAATGAGAAGGTGTGGCTACCGAGTCTGGAACAGCTTAAAAAGAATTGGAATTATTGCTCTAAAGAGATGGTGGACTTTCCCTATGAAACCCTCGGGACCTTTTTTGAGGGAGTGCATCTGACAACTTCCTCACTTCTATGAAAACCGATGTGCTCAGGTTTTCTATTCTGGAATCAGTTTTGATAAATTATATTCCTAGAAAATTAGACATTCTAAGTCTTCAAATGTATTTGCATGGAGCTGAGCAAAATATACAGTGCAAAAACTCGCTTTGTCTTCAATTTAAAATATATGAACAAATGTGAAGACTTTGTTTATATGGCAAGTTGTGATATCACCTGGGTTTTACCTGGCACCAAGGTGATTACAAACACAGACGTGTGGGCCGGCCCAGTGGCGCAAGCGGTTAGGTGTGCGTGTTCTGCTGCAGCGGCCCCGGGTTCGCCAGTTTGGATCCCGGGCGTGCACTGACGCACCGCTTGTTAGGCCATGCTGTGGCGGCGTCCCATATAAAGTAGAGGAAGATAGGCACGATGTTAGCCCAGGGCCAGTCTTCCTCAGCAGAAAAGAGGAGGATGGGCATCGGATGTTAGCTCAGAGCTGGTCTTCCTCACACACACACAAAACAAAACAAAAGAAACACAGACGTGGACACCAGAATAAAGTGGAAGTATTCAGATGTAAGGAACCCATCCAAATCAATCCTATGAGTCTTAAAAATTAAAATTCAAGTGTGAACAGCTTAAAAAGAATAAAATCTTCCAAATTCTTTCTATGAAGCTAGTATAACACCACAAAATCTATAAAGACTGGAGCCAGAAAAGAAAAATACAGACCAATATCACTTATATTTATACAAAAATCTCAAATAATAGCAAATAGAATCAAGCAGCATATTTAAGAAAATAATACATCCTGACCAAATGGCATTTATTTCAGAAAAGTAAAGATAGCTAAATATTAGGAAATGGATTAATATTATTCACCAAATTAATCGATCTAAGGAGAGAAAAAAGATTATTTCCATGGATACTGAAGATATTTGACATAGTTCAACCACCATTCTCATTTAAAAAAATCAATAAAATATGAATAGTTGAATATTTCTTTAATCTGATAAAATATTTCTATCTCAGCCCAAAAGCCAGCATCATGCTTAACGGGAACCACTAGAGACCTTTCCACTAAAGTCAGAAGCATGACAAAAATGACTACAATGACCTGTTATTTAACACTGTAATTCATGACCACAGAGCTCAAGTGGGCTCTCAGTGCCCAGGACATCCTCTATTTCCCTTCCTTCTACATGTCCGTTCCTTCTCCACAATCCGAGACGATTTCACACGTACTCTCTCCTCAATTTCAAGTGTGAAATGTATAATTTCTCATAAAGAACCTGTGATCCCTGGAGAACAAGTCTAAGGTCCCCATTTGAGAAACACTCTCCTTAGGAGCAGTGTTTAAATTTCTTAGCTTATGTTCAAGGCCGCTCCACTTCACCTTTTCACGCAGTGCTGTTTGTATGTCCTACCCTCCAGTTCAACTGAACCATTCTTTGTTTCCTGGTTTTCTCACCTCCCTGTCATTATTCTTTTCCTTCTGCCTGAATGCCACTTTGCTGACCATCTTTGCCTTTTAATTCCACCCACCCTTCAATTCTCACTAAGCTGCAACTTTCTCCTTGAAGGTGTTGGAATTGCTTTCTCATCTTCCCCACAACAACAAGCCATGATGACCCCAAAACACCTGATTCCCTCTCACTTGCCATGCCTACATTCAATTCAGTTAATGGGAACTGGAATTCAATTTAAGCTTTTGCTCTTCAACTCTGGGCTAAGTAGCCTCCCTCTCTCTACTGCAGTCTCCCTTTAAAAGACAATGACTTCAAAATTTGGAAGAGGTTAGAAAATGGAAACAGCCCAAATCTAGCTCTTTGTTGATTAGATTGGCCCAAAGGAGACGTGAATAAGAC